CTCTGTTTCAACACAGGACGTTATCTTTGGTTTACAGTTGCAGGACTTTCTCTCTCCAAAGAGCCCCCTCACACTATGACTCATAGAAATATAGTTTTTAAAATTAAAAGGTGGTTCAGATATCTGAAATTCTCTAATTGTGATTGTTTGAAAAGGTATTCTCCAATCAAACAACGAAAAAGTAATTGATTTTTAAAAATGAAACACATATTGGTAAAAATGCAAAAAAATGTGAGTTTAATTTTTTCTGAATGACTATGTATATGCATTTATATGTAGTTAGCATATACATAAACCAAATGGTTTTGATCAAGAACTGTATTTTCCAGCATAGTCTTGAGCTCAAAAATAAATTTAATTTTTGGTTTGATAAGAACAGGCCACAGGCCGAATAATAAACAAGCAGCTTGGTGATCACAAATACATTCTGTAAATGGCAGTTTTAGATCTTGCCTAATAGCAAAGCCCTAGTTGCAAAACAAGAAAAATTATGGGCAGACGTTTATTCAGACCAACCTTACCCTTTTCTGCCCTGCTCCTCTTTAGTTTACACAGTATTTTGAATGCACTGAATGGTACTGAATTGTACACTTATAAATGGTTAAATTGCTAATTTTAGGTTATGTGTGTTTGCCACAAAGATTTACAAGTAGCATGTAAACATTTTATTTTAAACAGCTTTAGCAGTTTTCTCAATTTCTCTATTATTTTGAGAAAACTTTTTGTAAGACAGCATCACAGATGTTGCTATGATCAATGTCCTTTGTGACATAAAATCCATCATCTTTTTGGTGGATATAAACCATAATCCCCAGGAAAGCCAGTCAAGGAATCTCAGCTTGTGGCTGCCTCCTTATTCCTTCCTACTTGTGGCCTTAGTAAAGGACAAGGTCTTTATTTGGATTTTGACTGTGTGGCCCCGTTCTCCTTAATGCCTTGTCCCCATTACTTCTGTTGCACCAATGTTTGCTTCTAGTGTTTTCTTTTTTGTTTTTACCAATTACAGCCTCTTTGTTGCATTCATATTCTCAAAAAGGGAGTCACATAATCACAGCTAGTCCCTATCCAAACTACAGCTTCTCTGACTTGCAGAGTTCTTAGAAGTTGTTGGGCCATGTCTTCTCGGGGTCAGTCACGTATCTACACAAGATCCAATGTCTTGGCCCTGTTTCCCGACACATAAGACACAAAGCATGGCAACAATTATGCAAAAAACTGGTTCAGGCTATTTAACTGAGTATGAAAACAACCACTTTGAAGAGTTAACTTAGCATATATTGGATACACTGACACATTGCATGCACTGAACATCTTTATCAGCCAAATTAGATTTAAAGCTATCACTACATGCACGCCTAGGGAGAACGCATTGTGAAATAATGCACTAACTGAAAAAGGCCATCAGAATCAGCTGGGCTGGATGGCAGAGCAGTCTGCGATGTTGACTTCAGATTCTTAACCAAACTAAAGGCCTAAAGAACAGTGACGGGCTGGGGCCTATTGCATATCTGTGGGATCTCATTTGTCATAATTACTGTACCTTATACTTCATGTATTTCATCACCATCAATTGAAGCCATACTTTATCTAAAATGACCAGATAATATCACTGCTACCAAGATTCTGGACCACAGCCAGGCTTCTGGCATTTCAGCGATTCTTGATGCAACCCAACACCACTGTGAACAGGATGTTGAAGCAGCTGTTGCAGTAAGCTGAAAGGGGACATGGGCGACCAGGGAGCAGAAGAAACACGTAGCCAATTGTATAAACCAAGTTCAAGTAACGTAACAATGCCTTGAATGAAACATGATCTCCTTGGTTAAGAGTTTACTTGAGTAAATGAAGGCAGACTCGGAAATACAGTTGTCGTTTCCCAATAAGAATTCTCCTTTGGTAATAAATGAGAATTTTAGAATGCATTTATGTATTTATGTCCATTTCCTAATATGTGATTTTTCAAATTACTCTTGTTGAGGAATTAAAGAATAAGGTTAGGCTGAGTATTATTTCAATGTATTGAGAGTGTCATGCTTAATGAAGTAAGTCAGGCAGAGAAAGACAAATACTGTATGTTATCACTTACATGTGGAATCTAAAAAATAAAACAAATGAATGAATATAGCAAAACAAACAGACTCTCAGATATAGAGAACAAACTTGGGGTTACCAGTGAGAGCGGAAGGGGAGAGGGGCGAGGTAAGAATACAGGATTAAGAGGCACAAACTACCGTGTATAAAATAAATTAACAACAAGGATATATTTTACTGCACAGGGAGATGTAGCTATTATTTTGTAGCAACTTTAAATGGAAAATGATCTATAAAAACATTGAGTCACTATGTTGTACACCTGAAATTAATATAATCTTATAAATCAACTCTACTTCAATTAAAAAATGAAGAATAAGGTTAGGGAGATAAAAAGGAGTCAAATAGTAGAGAAAGAACGCTTCCTTTTGCAATTAAGACTTGGAAAAGATAAAGAATGTTAAAGGGAAGAAAACCAAGTCTTTAGAAGAGGCAGGAGTGAGCTGGGTCATGTATAAGAAAAAGGTGATAGAGACCAAGTAAGGTTATGGGGACGTGAAAGCAAGAAAGGGATGGGCATTTAGATGTCAGCACCCTTGAGTCATCAAATCAGAAAAGCATTAAGCATTTGGATAAAAAAAAAAATCTCAACGTGAGAGTATCAATTATTAAACAATAAATGACACAGCCTTTCTCCTCTCCCTTATCTACTAAAATAAATTCCGATTTTATCTAGTCAATTCCCCACCACCCCGCCCCATCATCACACTTCTACTGATCTCCAAAAAAGGTCCTGTCTTGTTCCACTTGTCTTTGGAGCTTTCATGATGAACTATTAAAAGAAGGAATGTGGGCTGAAAGAGAACAATTTGAGTACTAGAGTGGTTTGAGGATTAAAGCTTTCATGGAAGTTTTTCAGAGGAATTTTGGAGGGAGTGGTACAGAAGTTACTATATGAGAAAGACGCTGATGAGTGAGGAAAAGGGAATTTTAAGCATCGCAGTAGAAATATGCCGCCTTCGTGGGCTTTCAGAAATATATGGGAAGAGCTTAAATCATTTAAAAATTATCTCTTTGGTTGTGACTGCATTGCTGATCTGAGCTTGAACCTCGTGGACTATGGCTCTATAAACATTGCATTAGCTTGTACAAAATCACCGGTTTAATGCAACAGCTGTGCCTGCATCTTGCTGAAGCTGCAGTGAAGAGGTGGAGGCTTGATACTGGTTTGAGTTGTAAGTCAAAAATAACAGCACAGGACAAATTATTACTTGGGTTCATCAATCGTTACTGGTCTTATCCCTTAGAGATAAGTTTCTTTTCTGCTTTGTGTCATGAGCATAAAAGTGTAACAGCTTTAATTGGTTAATTTCTGACTTCACTTACTCTATTCTGTTTTTCTCAACTCTAAATTCTCCACCCCAGGAATTTTCAAAGACATGACCTCTGCAGTCAGGGAGCTAATTGTGTAGATATGAAATTTTTATTTTTCATAAATTTTATTGTTCACCTCCACCATGCAGTTTCATCTTTCCTTGCACACCTAGATTTCAGACACACAGACACATCACGCCACAAATAACCAGACATATGTACAGATATGCCAGCCTGCCCCAGTCCCTCTCTCTCTCCCCTTCTGTCTCTGTTTTTCTCTTTCTCTTACACTCACACATACACACTATTTATTTGCACAGCTAGAAAAAAAAGGGAGGAAGGGATAAGAAAGATCAACAATGCATTTCCCTCAGCAAAAGCCGAAGAGTTGATGGCAGGTTATTATCTGAGCCTCACAGTTTCAGCCATTTTGAAAAAGATCCTGTGGTTTAAAATATAATTAGTGGAGGCTTGAATGTCCTGGCAAAATGCAACTTGAATATTGCCACCGTCTGAGCTAAGAGACCTAGCTATAGCTAAAGAGCCTAGCTAGCTTCCAGTGGCTGTATTTATGTTGACTTGGATCTCAATATATAAAGACTGCTCATGCTATGAATGCTTCAGGGGAACCACAACATTGAAGAAGTATGGGTTGAGCCCTGCTGGGGAAGCAGCTCTTTGGAGGAGCACCCCAACAGGTCCAGCCTAGACTTATTTACAAGGTCTGTTTTCCACAGTAATATATAGTGTCAAGCAGCCTTTCCATTAGCTAGGGGATCTTACCAGAGGCAGTACAGTCAAAGAAAAAACAGAGCTAGACTGTAGTTACAGCAGTAAATACAGATTTTATTCAGAAAAACTATTGCAAGTGGGAGAGACCCCCTCAGTAAAGAAATGGCTTGATTCTGAATATAACAAGGAAAAGTGGGAATTTTTATCCAGGGAGCAGGCTGGTGGGTGGTGGATGGAAAATTACTAAGAAGAAATATTAGGAGTAAAGGGTGACTCTGGCTGAAGTGACAATGATATTCTTAGTAAAGTCAGCCAGGGCAATTAAATGTCACTTGGGGGATGATGTGGGGTCTGGAACCTGACTAGATATTAAGGGTGATCAGATATCGAGGATGGGGAATTCTGGCTAAACCAATTTAGCAAGATTCTTGCTAAAATTGAACAATGCAGAGATGAACACAGAAGCCCAAAAGTCGAGGTCTAGTCGAAAAAGAGCTCAGAGGAGCCTGACTAAATTTCAGTCATGAAAAGAATCTTTGTCAGTATAAACCAGGCAAGTTACCTGCATCTGCACCCACGTTCTGTGACTCAAGGATATGGTGCAAAAGGGGTAAATATCAAAGGCAGGTCCAGAGTTTGTCCTTTCAGGTAGTCCCAAATATGAAGTCAACTTCTATTAAGTTTCCTTTGGGCTTTTGATAATGGATAGAAAAGCAATAATAGATAGAAAAGTTTCCCCAAATTCTGTCTCTAAAGTATTTTATGAGCACACAATTTGCCATTGGAAATTTCTTCTCCCTTCAGTTCTCTTATGCAGTTAAATCTTCCTGAAGATGGTGCAACCAATTGATCTGTATCATAAGAAATACTAAAGTAACCTATACCCCCAAGTTTTTGCTTTTTCACGAGTGTAGACAAGTCAACCAAGATGAAGTCTTTACTCTCTCCAACAAGAGCCTTTCTTTACACTCGAAGTCCTAGTGCTCCCGGCAAGTCCCACAGTACCCCCATTGGAAAGTACACCTGAGGTACGCCCCACCAGTTCAGTTCAGTTTTACTCATCACATACCCTCAAACACACAATCCTTCACCACAGCCTTAATTGTAATTAAAAATCACTTTTAGAAAGATGATTTTCTACCTCGACAATTAAGAGCTTGTGGGATAGCTTTAGAGAGAGTTCTTGTTCTTTTCCCTGCCTTGGGCAGAGGCAGGGAACTGACCCCTGCATTTTGGTTAAGGTGTCACTCCAGCACCATCACAGCGTTCGGAACCTTGGGTGAAGGAGAGATAGAGTGTCACAAATTCTCGTTTTCTTACCTACTGACAGGAAACTGTTCAAACCCCAGAGCCTTTAGGTTTTCCCAAAAGAACACTTGTGGGATTGGGGACACTTTTGTTCAGCTGAACCAGAAGCTGACCTCTCACTCTTTGGGCATTCTTTTAATAAGAGTATGTCTGTCTAGTTTTGCTTCCCAAGGCAACTTGCCTTTCTTTTAGTCTTCCTGTATCCCTCGTTTCCAATTTCCTTGCGTATGTAATTTTTCTGGGAAGAAGAATAAATGCCACCATGACATTTAATTATGACTTCTACGCCTCTATTCAGTAGGGAGCCATGCCACTCACAAGTCATAGTGTTTTCTTTACATTGAATTTTGCTGGCCCACATCAAGATTTCCCACCTCTTGCAAGGATCTGAGACCATCACATTCTGTTTAGGTTGAGTGAGGTTTGATACGAAGGTTAAGTCTGATGGACAGGCATCTTCTCCTCACTTACTGTGATGAGGTAAAAGTTTTCACGTTCTCACTGTAGAATTAAGACTTGTAAGGCATGAGAGACTGAGACTTTCCACAGAGTCCACATGAATATGGGATCCATGAGTTACTCAGGTCTACACTTCAGTCACCACTGACTGAGAGACTAACCCTCTCATTTGTGAGTTACATGGCATTGGTGAGTTGCTTACATATATCTAATTTTTCACTTTAAACAGTTACACAGTACAGAATCTCTGCATCAGCGCATGCTCCCCTGTCTCAAGAATCATTCCCTAATATACACTATGCTCTCTTTCCTCAATTAAAAGACTGTTACTAAACAGAGATAACTAAATATAGGCTTAAAAAATCACAAAATAAGAATTAACATTCTTTATAAATTCATTTTTAGAGAATTGAAAAATCTCATGGATTAGCCCAATTAATATAAGAAATTTTATTTTAAGCACATATATTAGGTGTTGGTGAAGTTCCCCTGGAATCAAGTTGCTAATGGAAAGATGGATGCGTGATGCTTTAATTTGATCTATATTCATTTGAAACAGATTGTAAAATTCTGGAAAATCACAATTGGAAATAAACAATGAATACATCTACAGGCTAGCAATATTTTATTTTATCGAACCAAGTTAATTCATTGATGCATTTCCTTAAAAACATGCTCAGAAAATAGATTAATGCATGCCAAGGCATTATTTTTTAATAATATCACTGTGAGAAGTCATTAAAGTATTTTTAAGTGTGCTTTGCTAGAAAAAAAAATTATGCAGGATAGAATTTGATACTATCTGCTCTGTATTTGTATAGGTTGAGGCCCTGGTTGGCAATGGATCACATGGTCAGTTTAAGAAGGAGAGAAACGTGTCAAAAATTCCGGAAATCTAATAAATGGCTATTCTCAGTGGCCTCATTCCATGTTACCTCTTCTTTCAAAAGTGATATTTCTATTTCCCTAACATATTTATGAAACAAGTGCCTTTTTGGTATATGTCTTTTGTATCTTAAAATAATTATTTGTATGGTATATTAGTTTCTCCTAAAAGATTCTATTTTTTGTCATTAAAATTGTCATGTATGTTTAGTTTAAATGCCATCATTAATTAATTCCCTTATTTTAAAAACCATGATACAAGTTTGCTTGGTCTTTCCAATTTGAAAAATATCGTTTAAACTAGTTATTTAATAAAATTGGAACCTTTTTGCTACTTCTGACAAAAGAATAATTTATTTTCCATTTTCATCAAATAATGAAAACTGAACAAATGCTAACAGCTGCCAAGCCATCAACTTTCTGCTTATGCTGTACAAAACATGCAATTTTAAAGAGGCAGACATATGGGCTTTGTATCATGTTTATGTAGGCATTTGTGAATTAAATTCCCAAACCATAGCTATATCTTTCACCTAAGGGAACTCCATAAAAATTACTACATTAGGTTATGGTGGAGTTAATATATTCCACTTAATGACAGTATGTTTTGTAGTTACTAGAAAATATTTTCCTTTTGGTGGTGGTGGAGTTTTTTTTTTTAAAGGAATAATTTGCATACAATGCAAGTCATTCTTTTTGCATTTTGAAAAATGCACGACAATCAAGATACAGTACAGTCCCACACTTCTTCTAAATTCACCATTATTCCTTTTCTCATTACCTTCTGTTACCAGACTGAGTCCCTGGTATACAAAACCCTTGACTGATTTGTTTTCTGTCCCTATCATTTTGCCATTTTAAAAATGCCATATAAATAGAATTGGACACATAACTTTTTTGGGCAGATTCTTTCATTTAGCATAACACATTTGAGATTCATCGATGTTTTCTCTGGGTATCAGAAATGTATTCCTTTGAATAGCTGAGTGGTATTCCACTGATGGGTGTACCAGTTTGTTAATTTAGTCATCAGCTGAAGGTGATGTAATTTGTTTGCAATTTTTGGCAGTTATATAAAACTTCTATAAATGTTTAGTTTACTCTTACTGTATCCTTAAATCTCCATTCAGAGTGAGGATGAATTCATAGAAATGGGAATGGTATAACAGGCCACTCCTATCAAAGCATTACAGTGTAGTCCTTTTGGAGGTATCTTCCTGACAACACAATATATTATCTATGATCAAGGTATAGGTAAGTATTTCTTGTCTAATATCTTTGTCATCTAGGAATTCTTTACCACTGTGGCTTATGCCTGATCCACTTGTGACACAATTGCCCTCAGATTACATAACATGTACATAAACTATTACAATCATTCTACGCTTAATCTTTAAAAAAAAGCAATCAAACAATAGGATAGGAATCAGAAGAACTTTGGCTAGGCGACATAGAATTTAATGACTATGCTCTTCACCAGCAATTGACACATTATAACTGATGGTATTTCGCTTAAAAGAAAAAAAGAATTTAATGACAAAGTGATCAGAGATTTATAAACTCAAAGGATAGTGTATTCTTTTTCTGAGAGCAGTTGACCAAGACCAAAATAAATGAACGCTATGTGAGGCAATGGAAAAGAGGTGGAAGGGAGTTTTATCTCTGTGTGTGTAAGTCAAATATGGGACAAGGTCTATGTCTTCTAAGCTATGTAGTACTCCATAACACCTAGCATAGTGCTTTAGGCGTAATGGTTTCAATGAATAGAAAAAAATAATTCATCACTATG